TCAAATCTATCTTTATAGATGGATCCAAGGATGGTGACAAAGTTGTTAGAGCCACTATCGTTGGATCCAGAACAGTATCTTCAAAATTACCTGATGGCAGCTCTATTTTAACAGCAGAGTAATGCCATACTAACAGCTCGAAAATATGTGACTCTGTGTCACTACTTCTACCTCCCCATACTGATTACAAACCGATCATTACAACTTACATCCGCGATCAAATGCAAAGAAGTAGAACACTCAAGTGAGTATTAATACATTACATGCAATTAAACCAACTGTTGGTTTTACCTTCTTGGGTTGTCAATCCGGAAGTTATTGTGCGACAATGTTGTATTGGTCATTCCAGATATACTCATGAATACCTCCTGAAAAGTGAGGATCCTCCACTCTGTCTTCCTTGTGATGAAATAATCACGGTCAAACATGTCCTGCTTGACACTATTGATTTTTCCCATCACAATGGATCAATATTTTGGTGTAAAAACAATGAAGCATCTTTTTAACCAGGACAATTATCATTTGACTTGGTTGACACATGTCATCGGGTCATCGATTCCCAATTGCGCAGATCAATGCTCATGCTCTTGATCACTGGATTGTCTGGTCCAGACTCGATTATTTACAGACCGTAGCCATATAGCTGGAATATTGCTGAGTGCGGCGTACAACTAAACTGTCTCTCACGCACGCACGCACGCACGCACGCACGCACGCACACACACACACACACATACATACATACATACATACATACATACATACATACATACATACATACATACATACATACATACATACATACACACACGCTTGCATACCAAGACATTCAGAAACAGACGCACACATACCCAGATATACACAGACGCATAAATACAAACATACATACATAGCTAGACATACACAAACATTCATGCATACACACAGACACATACCCCACTCACAGACACATACATCACTCAAAGGCACATACACAGACACATACTTCACTCATAGACACATACACCACTCACAGGCACATACATAGACACATACCCCACTCACAGACACATACCCCACTCACAGGCACATACACAGACACATACCCCACTCACAGACACATACCCAACTCACAGGCACATACACAGACAAATACCCCACTCACAGACACATACCCCACTCACAGACACATACACAGACACATACCCCACTCACAGGCACACACACAGACACATACCCCACACACATGCACACACACATACACATACACCACTCACAGACACATACCCCACTCACAGACACATACATCACTCAAAGGCACATACTCCACTCACAGACACATACACCACTCACAGGCACATACACAGACACATATCCCACTCACAGACACATACCCCACTCACAGGCACACACACAGACACATACCCCACACACATGCACACACACATACACATACACCACTCACAGACACATACCCCACTCACAGACACATACATCACTCAAAGGCACATACACAGACACATACACAGACACATACCCCACTCACAGACACATACACCCACTCACAGGGCACATACACAGACACATATCCCACTCACACCCACTCATAGGCACATACACAGACACATACCCCACACTCACAGACACATACACAGACACTCACAGACACATACACCCACTCACAGACACATACACAACTCACAGACACATAACACCACAGGCACATACACAGGCACACAGACACATACACAGACACATACCCCACTCACAGACACATACCCCACTCACAGGCACATACACAGACACATACCCCACTCACATGCACATACACAGACAAATACCCCACTCACAGACAAATACCCCACTCACAGGCACATATACAGACAAATACCCCACTCACAGACAAATACCCCACTCACAGGCACACACACAGACACATACCCACACACAGACACATACACCACTCACAGGCACATACAGAGACACATACCCCACTCACAGACACATACATCACTCAAAGGCACATACACAGACACATAATCCACTCACAGACACATACACCACTCACAGGCACACACACAGACACATACCCCACACACAGGCACACACACAGACACATACACCACTCACAGACACACACAGACACATACCCCACTCACAGGCACATACACAGACGCATACCCCGCTCACAGGCACACACAGACACATACCCCACTCACAGGCACATTCCCAGACACAAACCCCACTCACAGACACATACCCAGACACACACAGACACATACCCTACTCACAGGCACATACACAGACACATACCCCACTCACAGGCACATACACAGACACACACAAATGCATACACATAGTGAGTCACAAACATCCAAACCATATACACGTTACGCCTATGGACACACGTCAAGGATGTTAATTATACAGAGCACAAACTTAATTGACACTCGGCATTTGAAAAACAGAAAAACAACAGTGTTGAAAAGAACTAATGTTTAGTTCGAGGTATTGATGTTTCGCCACGTGTATGTACAGGAACTGGGAGCGGTGACTGCAGCTATAGAAGGTGATAGAGGAAGCATCCATTATTCAAGATCTAGCGCATGAACACACGACAATTCATGCAGAGATGATTTCAGCTGTCAACACATATTTACAATCACCAAGGTCACAGAATTACAGGTTAATAGTTGGCTGGAAGATCCGGGTTGGAACTGGTCAGGAGTCAGACTCGCCGACTTGACATATCCTCATATCCCAATTACGTAGATCAATGCTGTTGTTGATCACTGCATTGTCTGATCAAAACCCCATTATTTACAGACCGCCGCCATATAGCTGGATTATTGCCAAACAACGTTGAACAAACAAACAAACAAACAGATGCTTTGCCATGCCATGAGTGTTTGTTGACTTCTTTTGAGTAGTATATAGTGAGTGAGTGAGTGACATTTTACGCCGCTTTTAGCAATATTCCAGCAATATCACGGCGGAGGACACCAGAAATGGGCTTCACGCATTGTACCCATGTGGGGAATCGAGCCCAGGTTTTCAGCGTGACGAGCCAACGCTTTAACCACTAGGTTACCCCAACATCCCGGGTAGTATATCTTTACAACCGTTCATCTTTTATAAGCCTTCAGCCTTAATAACCTTTCAGTCTTTGTAAGACGTTAGCCTTTGTAGCCTTTCGTCCTTCATATGACCTGAAACCTGTTAGTATTTACAACTATTCAGATTTCGTCACCATTCGTCCTTATAGCCTTTCCGGCTTTGCAAAATTTTCAACCTTTAATTCAATGACATTCGAAAGCCGAATATGACCGAAAGACTTTAGTACCCGTTGTTGGGTGAAATAGGTGGTCGACATTAACGCAAACAACAAGAACTGGTCGAGTCATAGCGTCTCTGTGTCACATGTCTAGTGTGGTAGCTCGGTTGGCTGACAACAAAACAGGCGTTAGCCCGGAACAGTACAGCCGCATGAACGACGAGGTACAGGAGAAATAGGATTGAACGCAACTTTAAATAGAAGCAACATACCTAGAAGAAATCGACTGTACAATTTTGACAATATCATGAGTATATATTTGTTTCAGCGACCCGTGAAGATCCGGGGTAGAATAGGTCTTCAGCAGCCCATGTTTGCCACAAAAGGCGACTATGTTTGTCGTAAGAGGCGACCAACGGGATCGGGTGGTCAGGCTCGCTGACTTGGTTGACACATGTCATCGGTTACCAATTGCGTACATCGATGCTCATGCTGTTCACTGGATTGTCTGGTCCAGACTCGATTATTTACAGACCGTAGTCATATAGCTGGAATATTGCTGAGTGCGGCGTAAAACTAAACTAAACTCACTCACTTATTTGTTTCAGCAGTATTAAACCTCTGTTAACCCTTTTTAACGAACAATTCCACCTGTTTTCCTTCCGTTACTTGTTGACTTTCAGCGTAGATAATCAACCAGCATTTATACGAAGATTTTAAAGAAAGTCAAGTGACTGTTGCTCAAAGGATCATCGTTACCACGTTCAAGGCTTGTGTCTGTGTGTGAAGATTGTTTCAAAGTTTAATTCCATGTTTGGATGTATACCATTGTGCTAATTTGAACTGAACAATTGCGCATGTGTTTGTGACGGGGACAAGATAAGGTCACCTTTTCATGAGTGAGCGAGTTGAGTTTTTAGCAATATTCCAGCAATATCACGGCGGCGGACACCAGAAATGGGCTTCACACACTGTGCCCATGTGGCGAATCGCAACCGGATCTTCGGCGTGACGAGCGAACGCTTTAACCACTAGGCCACCCCACCTTTTCATGAAGACCTGGTGTCATGTCTATATGATAACATTCATGAACATATATATTCATGAGATAGTCGGAATCGTACAATCGACTCTGCATTGACATATTTCGGCATTAAGACATGTCATCCTCACGTTTCTACGGTTTTAAATTCTAAAGCTTTGTTTTCAAAAGTCGAATTTCAAATTAAAAAAATTCAAATCATGTTACCTTTCGCTCTTAGTTACAGCTCTGCAATAACAATATATTTGTATGCCTTTTACAATCTTCCCGATCCTGTTTGTTGAACAGTTAGAAATGTCTTCATGTGTTCTGCAATAATACAACCTTAATGTACAGTAAACTACGGTGAATTAAACTAAAACATACCACTAATTTGTATTCGCTATTACCGTAGTACGTTATGCGCAGACCCGTGAAGATCCTGCTTAGAATTGATCTTCAGCGACCCATGCTTGTCGTAAGAGGCGACTAACGGGATCGAGTGGTCAGGCTCGCTGACTTAGTTGACACGTGCTAATTGCATAGATCGATGCTCATGATGTTGGTCACTGGATTGTCTGGTCCAGATTCCTTTATTTACAGACCGCCGCCATATAGCTGGTATATTGTTGAGTGCGGCGTAAAACTAAACTCACTCACTCGTTTTCGTTATACAAGTAATGACTGAAAAATGACAATCTCTAGTCAAGAAAGATATATACTTACTTGTCTGTGATATTTGAAATACGTAGTACAGTATCAACAACCAGCCATGTGTAGCCATATCTCGCACTTCAAACATATCTCTTTTTGAACAAAAAGTCAATTCTGTTGTCCACGATGGAACAGGACACTTCAGTTGCCTACGGTGAACACCGGGAAGCTTTTCTATCCCTGGAACTCAAGTGGTTTAGGTTGTTTGCTTCAGGTACCTTGACGTGGTTCTCTAATCTGTAACGAGTAACTTGTAAAAGTTCTAATGTTTCCTGAACTGTAATGGGTACCTTGTTGGAGTTCTCATGTTTCCTCAACTGTAATGGGTACCTTCAAGGGTTCGGCTGTTTCCTGAACTGTACCGGGTATCTTCAAGGGTTCGGGTGTTTCCTGAACTGTACCGGGTACCTTCAAGGGTTCGGGTGTTCCTGAACTGTACCGGGTACCTTGTTTGTGTTCGGCTGTTTCCTAAACTGTAACCGGGTACCTCGTAGGGGTTCAATATTCCAGGTGCCAAATATCTTGCATTGGTTTATGTGTTTCACACAGGTAAGTATCAGTATTCTTGCAATGGGCGGTGATCAGTATCCCCTCCAGAAGTTGTTAGCAGTATTTCAGACTAAAACGTCATCATACTAACGTGTTATGAACTGGTGAGCTATTGTCATAAAAAAAATGCTTCCACGAACCGCTTGTATGATCCCCTTCTGTTGTCCACAGTTGTAAATTCAACCGCTTGCAGTATCCGCAGCAATACGCTGATTCGCATCTGTGACTTAAGGCTACACAGATTCAATATTCATTTGCGGTTTACAAGGGACGTCAAGTATGCACGTGTTGTCTAGTTGAACTCCTGTGTATTTCTGAAGGCAGGGTGATGTTCTACCGGTAACGCTTGTTTTTCTTTTATTGACTGTTATTGAACTCCTCATTCATAGAAAGGAGTGAATGATTAAGACGGAGGGTTCTACTATAGATTGCCGATATCTCTGACCGCACTTTAACATAAATAATAACGCATTCAATATTGACTCCAGAGATTCTGAGGTTCATCCACTGGCAACCTGCGACAGTAAAGCTAGTGTGTTGTGTTCTGTTTTTCACCATTGACATATTGATTAAAATTTCATTTTTTAGCAAACGTGTTATATTTTCTAACAAGTATGAATCGATGTTCGAACCAATAGAATTATCACATTTATGACTGTCTAAAGCTTAGCTATACGAGAATCTATATTTTTTTAAAACTTTTTTCAAATGTGAATACAGTTTTGTGGCTCTCATTCGTATGGTATTGGAATATTGGTTTTTGTCCTGAGCTTTCTGCAAAATGGGAACTACACCCGATCCCGTTAATCGCCTAGTAAGGGTTGCTGAAGACCATTTTTAACCCGGATATTCACGGGTGCTACCATTATTGACAACAAATGTTAATGGTCCACTTGAGGCCATAAACACCACGGGATTTCAATCTGCATCAACTGTGACCAGGGGTACATGCTGCCTGGCTCTTGGGACATATTGATTTAATTTTCTGTGGCACTATATATCTGACTGTCACCAATCAGTGCCCTGTGCTAGGGTAAATCAATAATACAAAACACAAATCACTTACTTTGATATATTGTTGGGTTTTAATTCCTAGCCGACACACAAAGGTTAACCACACAAGATCAAAGAAAAAGCAGTAAGTTACAATGGAATAGAAAGGTTTATATTTACGATAATAGAAGCAGAGACAGTTGCTAACATATGCCAGAAGCAATAAAAAAAACATGCCCCTCTACACAAGTCAGTGCGCTCAGTCCAGTATTGACCGGTTAAAGGTGGACCCTTGGCTGAGGCGCGTGATCCTTTCTTGTATTCAGGTAACAGCACCGGAAGCAGATAGGAATGGATAAGTCACAAGTCATGTCGTGGAGGTAAAGCCAGGCTTTAATAAACTGCTTCCTGAAAGCGTCGAGGCGTATGCTGTTTGGGTCGGAAATTGATAATTGTGAATAATAGTGACAAAACCTTTTCCACATCCATGAGAAATCTCTGCTGAAAGTAGAAGTATTGAACAATTCCGACTATATCACGAGCATGTGTTATTGATTCATTATAAAAGAAATTACGATTCCCTGTTTTTTGTGAAAAGGTGAACGTTTTCCTGCCTCGCCGGAAGCAACCGTTATGAACACAGGCCAACGGTAGTTCACTGTTGGTGTGGTAGAAGTCAAAACAGGGAATTTCACCGTTTCTTCTACGTCTTTACCATAAAACGTTTTGAAGCTTTACTAAGGCTTTGAATGTTGTAACCTTGATCGAACAACTTCGGAGCAAGAGCACTGTGACGCTTTTTGAATCTTGGGTAGAAGAACATATTCAATTGTACCTCAAAATTTGTAAAATGCAAACACACAATACAGGAGCTGTTGGAATATTGCTCGACATGAAGGGAAAGTTGACTATTTGAATATTTTTTTTCTTTTTCAAACAGCCTTGTAGAGATATTTTGTCACTTTGTCTTAACACATACAAATAACTAATCTATGGTCCCCACAGATCCCCCTCAGGACCTCTCTAGGCCAGAAGGGCAGCCATGTGCATTGACGGAGTTTGGACTGTCAACACTGAGGGGCCTCAATCTATGAAACGAGCTGTACCATGTGCCAACATAACTTATCTTATGAGTGCCTCATTACAATGCTGCAACTCACAATCAAACCACCTGCCACATAACAATAAACCTATTCCATCTCAACTGTTATTCAAAGTCCATGAAAATGTTTAGTGGTCTGAAAAGGCCTTAAATAGAATAAAACCACACAACCACATAAATTGTTTGACCATAACCACATGAATTGTTTGATCAACAACCTGAGATCAATTTTATAAGATAAATGCAATTCTACATAAAGAAGATAATTGTATGCATTTCAAGATCTTTAGCCTAAAGTTAAAGACATGTTTAAAATATATAAAACAAGTCCTTGTTAGCATACAAATAACCCCGCATTGGTTCTCAAAGATCTTTAGCAACTCAAGACTTAAAGTCATCTAGTTAACAAAGAAGCATAATACTGAAAACACCCCCTGACCCTTTAATCTGGGTTCTAATCCCTAATCTAAAACAATGATTATTCTTGAAAAATTGCTTTCTAATACAATTGATAATTATCAAACTTTGCTAATCTGCACCTTTCCCTTAACAAAGAAGCAAATACTGAAAACACCCTAATCTGAAAACAAAACAATTACCCTAATCTGAAAACAATCCATTAAATGATTGTAAAATTATTGGCTGAACATTTTATGTGTATTTATGATAATTCTCGATAAAATATAAATAGAAAATATAACTTTGACTGCACTCACACAGATATGGAGGGTGATCCCCAAATTTGAAAGCAATCAATCCATTTCAGGATTATAGGTATGATGCGAAATTATTAAAGACTGCATTTTAATCAAATTAAAATATATATGATGCGACAAAAGGTTGTCTCCAGATGTGATCCAACAAATAGTTTTCAAGTTATTGGTTGGTATAACTGTTAGGTAGGGTTAAAATAAATAAAATTTTAAAAACCTAAGAACAATGTCTAGAGCTGAGGCAATCAAGACAAGAGCTGATTTGGGATCTGCTAAACTATAGAAAAAGAGCGAGCACAGTTCAAATCCTTGTCCCTATAACACTTAATAAAAACATTGGAGGAACGAGGTTTTTTCATTTGCACAGGATATATTTCAGACAATTCGAATTAGTACCACGTGGATTCTCCAACACTTAAAGAAGTTTCTGGAATTCAATTCCTGCATACCACTATTCAGAAACTTAAGGAACGTCTCCATCCATTTGTCGCTGAATATCGCGACCATCTCTATTTTCAAAGGTTCATGACAATTTCTCAAGATTGGAAAGAAATGTCACCTGATGTTTACAGAGAAACAGTATTTGAAATGTCTGGTCGTAAAACATGGGTCTATTAAGTCCAGTGAACGTAGCACCTTCCCCGTTCATCGGAGAAGGACGGTACAGCTTAGCTTCATGATACTCATTAATGCTTCATTAGGGAGTTTGTTGTCCATAAATTATATTCACTAACAATTCAATCGCGTATTTTCACCATCCATTTTTGTTGTTTGATATTTTGTTTACCATGTTTGACTGCGACTGCATCGATTATTAAAATCAACTCTTTTCAGACAATACCTAGATTATCTTCTATCCGCCTACTTCGAGTTGTAAAATTTGACAGCATAGGTCAGAAGGCGCAGCTATAAACGACTTTAACTGTGAGGTATAAAGTCCTTGTTTCTTCCATCTCGGGTACACTTTCTTGAATACCCCTAAGGAACTCACAGCTCAATCATCTCTTGATTCAAGGCTAGCTTCAAATAGCTAATTCCCCCAGGCCTAACAGTACATTAACTCACATAGAACAAAAGGCTGCTTTAACTGGTTGAGACGTTCGATCCATGATGCTGGAGCAAGCCCTGCAAACTACAAAAGGAAACTGCAAGGTTACTGAGTCCTCACTAGCAGCACCGCCTCCACAATCCGACATCACACTACTCCTGTCGTCACCATCACCCTCTTTATCAACGGACGAGAGACATCATCCCACACCAATGGGCCCAGTGCGGCTTCCTTAATACAATGGACAGCAAGATGATAAAAGTTGATGGGTAGATTTTGAAAACTTCAACATCCTCCATGGACATTCAGACTACAGATCCTGTAGAATTCTACCCTTCTTCTTGGACAGGGCTGCTAAGGTGTGGTTTCAGAACCTGCCTGAGCTTGTCAAGCAGTCACTGAAGGCTGCCTACCATCAACGTTTTGGGCATTCCTCAGCTTTCGTACATAGTGCAGATGGAGCACTTCATCACCAGGGTGCAATCATCCAAGTTGCGCTCCACCTTCCACAACAGCAAAAAAAACGGGAACACTACCACCAGCGACAGACACCCATCAACCACCTCAATAACTGTAACAGCAACATCCACAGCAGAATCCAGCTTCAGCTCAACCTCCTCAGCCATACAGCAAACCCAGCAACACCCATCACCCTTCCCTTACCAGCCTTCCTCCAGCAGTAGACGACTCCACAACACCTACGAGGCATATATCTTGGATATGGTATTTTCGGTTCCCTCACAATGTCCCCATAGAGAAACACAGTATGCACTGTGGTCTAACAGGTCACCATGCTAAAGTTTGTATATGTATATGCATTATACACAAGGAGGGAGTCGCAATATACACGTACGCCTCCGTCTCTGCTTTCTGGGTGACTGCGTGATCTCCAATAGAAGCAGCACCTCCACAGTTGACGCCACGATACGCCTGACGATATTACCACCCCTTTATCAATGGCGATAGCCATGCCAAAAGTTTAAGCATCCTTGATTGTGGCTTTTGGAAAATACCACTTCATTCAAATACAAAACAAAGTCAGCCTGATGGTGTTTTCAAATGGAAACCACGCACGCACGCACGCACGCACGCACGCACGCACGCACGCACGCACGCACGCACGCACGCACGCAAACACACTCCTGTGGCATTATTTCTCTTCAATATAGAACGTCAGTGCGAACGAATAGCAGACCTTGACTGTTCTCAGGAACAATGGATCACTGAAAATCAGTGAAGACATTGTTAATTACAATATTAAAATATAATATCTTCGGATGAAATCTTTGTATTACGAACTTTATTATAAATTCCTTGGCACCGTCAAGCATAACTAGTTACGAGTCGTAGTGTCACTGGGGGTCAGGTCAAACATTAAGTATTTAATGGCCATATGGCACTGACTTTATGAGGTAAAAGTATATCT